CAGTGATAGACTAGAATCTAGATAGTCTATTATACCGCCGCTCTGCTCTGCTCGCTGGTACATATTATGTGCTGCTACAGATCTGGTACTAATGATATGCTGTTACTGCTGCTGTTTCTGTTGTCAGTGTTGCTGCTGGTCGTGTCGGTTGTTGTCGTTGTAGTAATTGTTGTTGTCGTTGGTGATGTTTTTTGTCGTTGTTGTTGTTGTTGTTGTTGTTGTTGTCGTCGTTGCTGTTGTCGTTGTAGTAATTGTTGTTGTCGTTGGTGATGTTTTTTGTCGTTGTTGTTGTCGTTGTCGTTGTTTTTGTTGTTGTTGTTGTTGTTGTTGACAGTGCTCCTGATCGTGATGATGAATATGATGTTAATGGTGATGATGATGATATTTGTAATTGATTTTTAGTTGTTGTTGCGGCTGCTGCCTGTTATTGTTGCTGCTGCTGTTACCATAGCTACTGCTAAGATTTTATGTGATTGAGGTTACTTACAATGCAAATATGCAAAAGAAACATTTTATATATTTAATGTGATGTATATAACGTTATATATTAAATAAATGTAAAAAAATGTATTATTTTCAGGATTCACTTGGAGGAAATGCAAAGACTGTGATGATCTGTTGCATAAGTCCCTCATCTTCAGACTTTGATGAAAGCCTTAATGCGCTGAAATATGCACAAAGGGTTGGTGATCACACGCAGTTATTCTCACACACTACATTTATTGGAAATGTTGGCATACTATTATCATATTTTTTGAGAAATTAAAATGTGATGCTGTGATGTAAGAAAGAAAGTAATAATTCATCCGTAGTTTTGTATGTGATGGCGCAATGCTGTTGATATTGTCGTTCTGTGACTGCTACTATTTCTCATGTTATGCTGGCAGGCCAGAAAGATCAAGAACAAACCTGTGGTGAATGTGGATGTACATGCCGCCCAGCTAGAAGAGCTACGCTGCGAGGTGCGGTCGCTACGGCAACAGTTGAATGACAACACGCATGCGCTTCCAGGATCACAGATGTCACGAGAAATCAGTGATGTGACCAGTAAGCAATCAAGCAACAATACAGATAGGTATGAAATGTGGTTAAAAACGAATATGAAAAAAATAAAATGAGTAAAAAATACCGGTATATAATAAATAATAATATATATGATAATATATATATAGCATGATGTAAAAAGATATATATCATAAATAATATGAAAAAAATAAACATGGTTATGAAATATGGTTGGAGTTAACTGTTGTAGGCATGCCTAAATGGTTCAGATATATGATTATGTATATCAAAATACGCGTATTTTGTTATTCGTTATTACACGTTATTTATCTGCATATTTAATATATATACATTATTCGATTATTTGATAATGTCATTCGATGTTATTACGTAGTAGGAATACTCAATGAGAACAAAGTTTAATTAAATCCTGAGGCACTTAATATATTTAATCTATACATTCACACTTAAACATTTCTGTTTCAGTCTTCCAGAGCAGCATCTGCTTCTAACAAGGTGTCTTAATGAGGCCAGAGAGATACTATTCAGTGTTCATGCATCACCTGTGTCAAGTTCTGTTAAATTCTGCATCCAGCAGTGGCTCAACTTAATAAACCAGGTCTGAAACTAAGAAACATGTGTAAACATGTGGAAATTGCATGGTTAATACATTGCATTATGTTTAGTATCACAACTAACTGAGTTTGTGAGATCGTGTGGCGATCCTTCGGATGTTTTCTATGCCAAGTGTAGTACGAGTGTGACATTCTACATTTGCTATCTAAATTTAATATTTAAAACAAATAAGAAATAGTTGAACTATGATTAGTAGTTCAAAACAACAGCATCCGAAAACGTTTGCGACGAATTGTAGGTAATAATTAAATGACATGCCGAATTGTTGTCTCTGCAGCTTCAGTTGTTTGAGACCACAGATGACGTAACCTGCAAGCAAGCATGCACTGATGTTTTGAGTGATGGTGACTGTGTGAGAAATGCCGCTAACCTTGAACATCACTCATACTCTGCACGCGAACAAACGTCGCACACACAGCGGCTTCTACAGCTTCAGCAGGCAATCAAAGTTCTGGTGAGATGCTCGTCGATTTCATTCTTTTGCATCCCTTTTATTAATTTAACTGTCTTAATTAATTAATTCTCCTGTTTTATATAGCGTGGTTCAACTGGCATATACAATTGAAAGGCTTGCTATTCACCGGTGCTAGCTTAGAAAGGCAGTGTGTCAAGGTGTTGTGTGTTCGTGGTAATCCCTGTGAGGAGGCTGAAAAGGATGCATGTGTCACGTTCTCACTGCTTCAAAAACGAGGTATTTGTCGAACTGCGGGCTGTGTAAACCTAGTAATGACCACAGCGAATTTGAGTATATACGTGTGCGTGTGCGCGTGCGCGTGCGCGTTCGTGTGCGTGAACAACCTACGAAACCAGAGCTGTCAGTAATACAGGCACTTGGAGCGTTTCAATAAAATATAATGCTAAATAAATACGAAATCTATTTACTATTATAGACAAGTCAGTGTGCAGCAGTGCTAGCGTGCGGCAGCCAGCGTGTGTTGCAGATGAGCATTTGGAGGGCATTTACAGGAAATTGTCGGCAATAATAGGTGAAAGAGAGTAGAGAAACATTAGGACTTTGGTAGTAAATAGATTTCGTATTTATTTAGCATTATATTATATTGAAATGCTCCATGTACCTGTGGACAGATACCTCCTGGTGCAGGCATCTTCCCTCCGCACTTATATCCGTCGCTGCTGCTCGCGCGCGTGGCAGTCCGTTTTCAGGACCTAGTGGGAAGTTAATCGCAATCAGTAAAGATGGCCTGTATCTGATGGATGGTCACTCAGGCTAACTAGACTATGAAACTAGACTGAATTTTCTTTTAGTAATTTCAGTTTTATACATAAAAAAAACCCGTTGCAGATCGAAATCCGTAAAGCAGTATTTGGTGGGGGGGCTCAATTCAACCTCATTTTAAATTAACAATTCCATCGTCATCACTATTTCGTCTGCCCCCTGCTCATAGAAATAATATAGATAACCTATTTATTATAATATGATAAGCATAGGTATCGCACAGTCCTTGAAAAGTCTCTTTGATTTTAGATCAGAGAGTCCTTGAAAAGTACTTGAATTTTAGTAAATTGTTAGATATTTGTGCTGAAAAGTCATTGAATTTATATAGAAAATGTCCTTGAATTTTTAGAAAGAATCCTATTGCCTGTAATAAAAAGCAAATTTTGTACGCATCATAAATGTGCAAAACATCAATCAAATGCACATTGCGTTCAATGAGCTTAAAAAGCCATAGAACACGATAGACAGTTAAAATGATGATGCACTAAATTACAGTAAGTTCAGTATAAAATCAGTCAGTAAATCAAGGTATTTGTAGAAGTGACTATTTGTGTTTAGAAGGTTTATTAATCGATCCGGGTAAGTTTTTAGAGGTGACATGCAAGTGATTAAGTAATGGCGTTTATTAAATTAATCTCAGGTATGTTCTTGGTTCTGTGTTATGAATTTCGATAAAAATGTCCAATAAAATGTCTTTGAATTCCGATAAATATGTCGCTTGAAAAGTATTTGAAGAAGTCCACATTGACAAAATTTCAGTCTTGCATTGTATGAACTCATAGATAACCTATTTAATTATAATATGATAACCTAGTTTTATCTATATTATTTCTATGCCCTTGCTAGACAAAAAACAAGCTACCATCTCGGTTTGATCTGTGGCTTGCCTGCCTGCGGGCCGTCTGTCTGCGTGTGACACGGGCAGAGCATAGTGAGCAGCAGGAATGCGTGCCCCGTGGCGCCCGCATTCACAGCTGCAGCTCGCAGCAGCGTTACGCCTGCGTGCGCCTAGCACAGGCTCTCTCTCTCTCTCTTATCTCTCTCTCTCTCTCTCTCTCTCTCTCTCTCGTGTATCACTCTCACGCACTTATATGCGCGTGCATTCGTGCATGGGTGAATGCTTGTCTCGTTAATTGCGTGCGTGTGTGCTGCGCGGTTTTTTGTCTTGCAGGCGCACACAACATCGGCGTGTTTGTGTGTTCGTGAATGCGTACACGTGGTACAGTGTGTGCAATGGTCTACTGTGTCGTGCATCTGCTGCGGATTGTCATACTTGTGTGGCATCGTGTGCCAACGTTCGTGCAACATCTCCAGTACACGTAGAGAGCCAATAAATAATCTATGGATACAAAATCACACATACCGAAATGTACGCAAGAGTAAACGTTAAAATGGTGTAAAATGGAAATGTACGCAGGTACGTAAAATGGTGTAAAATGGAAATGTACGCAGGTATAAACAGTGATGCTAGTAGTGTAAAAGTGTAAATACTATACGGTCCACTCTCCCTATGCCGACCACCCTCGTGGCTGTTCATTTAGTTCGTTGTTCTGTGAAGTTCCATTTATAGTGTGGTACCGTACGTACTAGCCGGACGAGGCTGTGCGACTGATTGTCTATACAAAGTCTGATTGTAATACAAAGTGATTAGCAAGACTCTTTCTTGGAGCTAGTACCGTACATGTCTCAGATGGTGTTGGGAGTTAAAAGATGGTCCGGTTTAACGTGAGATTCAGTTTTGAAGGCGTTCGAAATTTGGAGAGTTGACTGTACCTATTTGGCTATGTCACATTCCATGTGAATTCGTGTGGTGGTTAACCATATTGGTTGTCCCTTCTTTGTCGCCAGGAGAGAGAGTGTGAAAAGCTACTGACGTCGCTGGAGAAGGTCAACATGGAGAAGGAGGGCCAGACGGAGCAGTTTCTTTCTCAGTTTCTCTGCATACAGAACCTCATTAACTCCATACTGGTTCGTAGTGTTCGGACATATTATACGCTAATTAGTAAGTAGTAATTAGTAATTAATAATTAGTGTTGCTCTACATTACATACGTGTATAATTACATGCGACGTATTCTCCTAATACAAAAAGATACCTACCTGCTGCTTAGATAAGCTCTCAAGAGTATATCATATTCAAGAGTATATCAAAGTATATCAAGAGTAATACGACTTTGTATAAGTCTAGTAACGAGGCTTGCTATAATCCATGTCTGCTATACTCTTCGTAGTGAAGTTGTCACCGTGAAATTATTTCGTCCCCCGCTATTATATTTCGTGATGCGCTTGCAATATTCTTCAGCAGGTGCATGGAGATTTGAAGGCAGAAGAGGAGAGTACTGTGGGTTCTACCTGCCTCACCGTAAACAGTGTGATGTCGTCATTTTACGCACGCAACAAACTCCTGATGTCACAGCTAGAGGAGGCTGATATGGTGGTCACTTCTGCGTGCGACAATTCACAAGACGGTGTCGATGATTCTCGAACCAGGTGAGAAGATCGCATGCACTAGTGAAATGACAATTAAACTACAATTTTCCTCCCTGCAGTAAAACTGATGAACTTCGTATTCGTGATGCCTTGTCAACCTTATTATTATGCATTACCGTAGTGTTTATCCATCTATAGGTTGCTAATAGATTATTCTCGATAGAACTAGTGAATCATCGAGTATCTAGCTACTAGAAAAAGCAGTACGCTTCACTGAACCCTACGGGAGTCGGATGAATAAAGATGTGACCCGCTCCAGCATAATACGGACTAAGTCGCAAGTCATTGTTTTGAGTAATGAGCACGCACACATGTCAATGCTGAAAATGGCCTACCTGGACAAAAATAAGTTCCTAAGTGCATATTTAATCTGGATATATAGGTTCAGATATCTCTAGATTATTATGGTCATTTTTAATTTTTTTTAAATAATAAAAAAAATAATTTTGAAGGGCCCCTGACCGCTCATCCCCGACTGGGCCCCTCACCCGGAATGCTTTATCTCAAAAGCTGCATATTCCGGAATAAGTCGGTTTCCGATCTTCAAATTGCTATTGATCGGTCAATTCTTAAGATACAGCCAAATATTATATATCATTTTAAAGGTAATTAAATGATCTATTCAGATATGCACATATCTCAATTTGTAGAATTTCCTACTTAATCCTGGTTTTGCTGGAGCGGGTCACAAATTAAGAAGAAGAAGGTTGCTAATGCCAGCTGTGCCTTAGTCTTGTCTTCAGTGTGTAGTACACACAGGTTGAGGTAAATCACAAATCTTCTGTTGATGGTCGTGTTTAAACATGGCCGTGCGTATACCCATATGTTCGTGGTATAAGTATAAGTTATGTTATTTTATCACAGGTCATCTTTAAGTTCTACAAGAACGCTGCCGAACCCCACTGTTCTTAACATAGATGACATGAGAACAAGTCAGGTGGCTGGTATGTCAACGTTAGCGTGACAGTGTTAATCACGTTCAGTTATAACTTATATTCATCATCTTCAATGTTATTATACGTAATGTCTACTACTGTCTTAACATAGATAAATTGAGAACAAGATGAGTGACTATTATACCAATGTCAGCCAAGTCCCTTTACGTTTATGTTATTATATAGCTAGCTAGCTTTTGCAAGGTCATTGCAAAACATCTGTAAATGATTTCATTTTCGTGTATTTATTAACATTGTAAACCTAACAAACTGTTATCATTTACAAATATTCAACTAATTACATTAAATAAATATATAATTGATAAAAAAATATTTGTGCACGACCTATCTACATGACTGTAATTGCCATAGTTCCACAAACATCGTTTAATTACGTCGTTATCGTCATTTCATGTCGTAATTCTGTATTTTTCCCGTAGGAGAAATGTCTGAGAGGATCGGTATGGTGGAGTCGGTGGCCGGGCCTGTGGATGATGACCAGGGGTCGGTGTGTCGGTCCGGTGAGGTCAGGTCACTGAGAGGGTCCGGTAAGGTCTGCTGTGAGGATGCCACGACCACACCTGTCCCCAACCAGCTTCGTCTGTCTATGCTCTCAGAGAAACAGCTCCAACAGAAGTTTAGAGATCTGACCATTAACATTAGGTATTGTCGTCTGTTCGTTATTCACTTGGTTACGATAGCAACGTAGAGAGATTCCTCTTTAAGGAAGAAACTCGATATGTGGTATGTGATAATAATGCTAGAACAGTTTTGATGACATTTTATTGTCAGTTATTTCAATTAAACTGCAAGTAAATAATCCTCAATAAACTAATAGTAGTAAATGAAATTTCGCATAGATTTCCACAACTGATAATAGTTATTCTGAACTTTAAAAAAATTGCATTTCTTCCTACACTTCCTCTTAGAGGGCTCACATAATAATGACATACGTAATTAGATTGGCCTGTTTTCTTTCTGAATTAGCTACGGTAGTATCTCACCGTGTTCTTTGTCTCCCAATCCTTAATTTTTTTCTATTTTCCAATGTGCAACCACCAGGTGGCACCTCTTTACTTCATGTACCTTATCAAGAGCTAATAATACCTAGAGTGTACAACGGAAAAACGGGAAAATAGTGCTATTTCACGACTACATTATTCTACTTTGCCTGCGAGTCTAGAATAATTTCATGGTATTGCATTAAGCAGAATTCCTTGCTCTCTACAACAAGACCAACCGCTTCTCAATACGATACTCCTAGGCTGAGATATCGGCTCCTAAACCTCCCCTCCCACATGCCTTACGCCGCTTTGAATCCACATCATTCAGCAACCTCCACGCGTCTAAGCATTTTGGCTATCGGTTTCCGTCACCGCTTGGAGCGCTGATAATTGATGTCACATGCCCAAATTTGGTACTCTTACTACACTGAGTAACTGAGCTGCGTTGTAAAAACTTGATGGAGCCGGCTCCATCATGACGGCCATTAGCCATGCTAGGAAAGATAATGGAAGATAAGGGCATAGGCAA